AGCGAGCCCCCGCGGGCGCACACCCCCCCCCCCCCCCCCCCCGTCCCCAGGGTGGCACCAAGCTGGGGGTGTCCCCAAGAGGGTGGCACTGGGGTAGGGTGGCCCCGATCGGGGTCCCCAGGGTGGGCAGGTAGGGTCCCATGGGTGGGGGGGTCCCCAGTGGAAGGGAGGGTCCCCAGGGAAGGGACGTCCCCAAGGCTGACGATGTCCCCAAGGTTGATGATGTCCCCAAGGCTGACGATGTCCCCAGAGTGATGGGTGTCCCCAAGGCTGACGATGTCCCCAAGGTGAAGGGTGTCCCCAAGGCAGACCGACCCCAAAGTGTGGGGGACACGACTGTCCCCCCCAAGGCACATGGGGGATGTCCCCAAAGCGAGAGGTGTCCCCAAAGCGAGAGGTGTCCCCAAGAAGGGACGTCCCCAAGGTGGGATATCCTCAAGGGATGACCCCAAGTTGGGGGCATGTCCCCAAAAAACAGATGTCCCCAGGGCAGAGCTGTCCCCAAGGCAAGGTTGTCCCCAAGATAAGAAATGTCCCCAAAGCAAGGGATGTCCCCAGGATGGGATGTCCCCAAAGCGAAGGCTGTAAGAAGGGACGTCCCCAAGGTGGGATATCCTCAAGGGATGACCCCAAGTTGGGGGCATGTCCCCAAAAAACAGATGTCCCCAGGGCAGAGCTGTCCCCAAGGCAAGGTTGTCCCCAAGATAAGAAATGTCCCCAAAGCAAGGGATGTCCCCAGGATGGGATGTCCCCAAAGCGAAGGCTGTCCCCAAGGTAAGGCTGTCCCCAAGGTGATGTCCGCAAGGTGAGGGATGGCCCCAAGATAAGACACATCCCCAAAGCGAGCGATGTCCCCAGGATGGGCCGTCCCCAGGGTGGGGGCTGTCCCCAAGTCAGGGTTGGCCCCAAGGGCCCCCAAGTGAGGGTGTGCCCCAAGGTAAGGTTGTCCCCAAGGTGATGTCCCCAAGGTGAGGGCTGTCCCCAAGTCAGGACTGGCCCCAAGGTAAGGTTGGCCCCAAGGTGATGTCCCCAAGGTGAGGGCTGTCCCCAAGTCAGGACTGGCCCCAAGGTAAGGTTGTCCCCAAGGTGATGTCCCCAAGGTGAGGGCCGTCCCCAAGATAAGAAACGTCCCGAAAGCGAGGGCCGTCCCCAGGACGGGATGTCCCCGAGGTGAGGGCCGTCCCCAAGGTG